CTGTTGATTTCATAAATATATTAGTTGAGCTCTCTTTAATTATATATAATTATAGGGGAGGTCGACTTTATAAACATTTTATTCATGCTGGGCAGAACTCAAACTGAGCAGGACTTGGCTTGCTCAGAACTCAGAGTAGAACTCTGCCAGGTCAGAAGCAGATTAGGATCTGCAAAGAACCTGACCTGATCAAATTTTGGCCTGCTCATAACTCAAACTGAACAGAACTCTGTCTGTTCAGAACTCGCACTGAGTAAAACTCTGCCAGGTCAGAACCAAATCTGCAAAGAACCTGACCTGATCTTGGCCTGCTCATAACTCAAAACTACATCCATTCAATCTGAAATAAACAATTTTATGTCAGTAAAACCTGCATGTCTATCTGTGAAATGACAGCACGAAAAACTTTACTTTCAAAATAATCTTTTTAATTTGGCAAATAGAATTTTTTTTTCTCTGAAGAATAACAAACAATATATATATATTTATTTACAAAAAAAGTACAATTTCTCTCTATATATAATTTTTTTAAATATAAAAGAATGTCACACACACATTTGAAAGCAAAAAAAAACAAAGGTTATAGTTCTACCACAACACAGAGAGAGAGATATGGTTTTTAAGGGGTATCTATAAGGAAGAGATTGTCAATGGGTACAAAATAGAAAAGATACAAAAGTCAGTTTATCCTTATGTGTGTCATTAACCTTACATAGTATCATTTTGCATATCCCCTTAACAGAGTGGTGGTGGAGAATCAACTTTTATATTCAAGATATGCAAAATATATTGCAAATTAATTTGTATATATTGGAAATCAAAAGAAAAGCATATTTTCAGTGCTGGAGAAGAATCATGCTATTGATAGTAAACTAAATAAAACTAAGTGAAAATGTTTGGGGGCAATTTTTAGACAAGAAAGTGATCACAATGGATATTAAGACCAAATCCTCATCAAGTTTAGCAACTATGTACTTCAGTCAGCCATGTTTTCACCACAGAAATATCTCTCAATTAATAAAAAAAAAATTGAAATTTATAATTATATAAACAAAAAGTGAGAACACAGGTCGCATCAACCATCTATTTTATTCTGACAACCCACTGTTGTCTTCTTTTCAAGGAACCACCATCATCTGAGACCAATATTTTAGGTTGCTATAACCATGACTAAAACACTTGGTTTTGTCTATGAGTGTGTTATTTCAGGAGAATCAGTCCTAAGACTAGTTTGCCTCAACTCAATCAGATCATCCAAGACAATCCATCCACAGCAGATTCTAAGACTTAGTTGTCTTGGATTCTCTCAATTATGAATTTATATAACCCAGTTGCTGTTATAAAAAAGCAACAATGAGGAGGCTCCACTGTATTTATGCTTTTAAGTTATTCAGATTTCTATGCCGTTTTATAAAACTGTAACTCTCCTAAGCATTATATCATTATCTCTCTAGAAAAGAATGACAAGTGGGTCTCCAAAAGGTCTGTATAAAAATAGAAAGTTTATTTCTTCTGTTTTTACATTACTCTCATTGACAAAAGGAAGTGCAAAGTTTTTGATGTCACCAGTTGTCTATTTTTTTTTGAAGGAGACAGAGGCAATTTTGTTCACACTTGGTTATCTCTTCAATAAATGTCACTGTGTATCAAATATCTTTCAAAGTTATTGTCTGAATCCTGATATAAGCTGAAAGGTACGACTTCCTTTAGTTTTGTCTATGAGTGTGTTATTTCAGGAGAATCAGTCCTAAGACTAGTTTGCCTCAACTCAATCAGATCATCCAAGACAATCCATCCACAGCCATAGCAGTTTCTAAGACTTAGTTGTCTTGGATTCTCTCAATGCATCCCACAAATTCTTAATGAGAGCATCTTCTTCCAAGAAACAATTTAGATTTTATAAAATTACATAATACTATAGGATGGAGATTTGGTCTTTATTACCTTGTGAATTTGGAGGGAGGGACTTTTTATCTTGTGAAAAGAAAGGGAAAAAAAAAAGAGTGAAAAGTGATGGCAAAGTAAAAATCAGGCTGCCAAAAAATAATTAGAAAGAGTACTTCTGATCGTGTAAATAAGTGTCATAAAGATGACTAGCAAAATTCTCTCAGACAATATATAAATATGTTTAAAATTTTAGAGTAAATAATGATTAAATATCTTTCTCTGATAAATGAAAGGTGAAAATATGAAGGAAAAAAAAAAGAATATTTAGTTTTGTAATAGAGAGTAGCATTAATCTTTTACCCGTTTAGCTATGAGGCCAACTTCTGTAATTATAAAAAACAAGGTAGAGACTTGTTCACAGAACTGATATGGACCAAACACTCTATGGATAAACCAGATAACCTTCCTATCAATATTAAGACAT